TTTTACTGGATAGGCACAATATGTGGCTATGTTCCTCTTTTCTCAGCATAATGCACTGTCATTCTGACAGCTTTCAGTGGTATGCAGTGGGCTTGTTTTTTGGTGATTTTGGGGGTTTTTTGTTGTTTGTGTTTTTTTGTTTTGGTGATGGTATTGAGGACTGAACCCAGGGCCTTGCCTCTTGTATGTGCTAGGCAAGTGCTCTACCACCAAGCTACCTACCAGCGTGATGGGCTTGATTTTGCTTTTCTCTTTCCTCCCCACCTCTTTCTCTCCCTAGCATTCTTAGGCATACAGGGTCTTTCCTATGTTCTATATGTTATAAATTCTTTTTGTTGTAAAATTAGTTCCAGAAAACTACAAAGTAAATGGTGAGTTTAATGAGTCCATCTCAGATGAGCTCTAATAGCACCATAAAGGTCAAGGCCAGAAAGTAGAACATGCCATCACAGGCCCTTGAGGCTTTCACTAGATTCTGTGAATCTCACACTCAGGTTATAGTTCAGTAGGTCCCTCTATATTTCTTCCTAAAACTGTAGCTTGATAGGGAGATGGGGCCAGCTTTAGCTCAGTCCCCTTGTGAAACTATGGGGAGCTTGCGCCAGACAGGGGATATGATAGCTGTTTGTCTCCCTTTTTCTGATGTTAACAGCTGTTGACCTGTCTTTGTTAGGCATTGGAGGCTTCAAAATGGTACTCTGCTAATTCTGTCACTGTCTTAATTACGTTCTCATTGCTGGGACAAAATACTAGATACCCACAAGTTAAAACAGGAAAGGTTTATTTTAGCTCACAGTTTGTTGAGGTTTCAGTCCATAGTTGGCTGGTTCCAAGGCCATGGTACAGGGGCCTGACAGAGGAGAAACAGTTTATAGTGTAGCAGGCTTCCTTTCTTTTCCCTTTTTTATTCCATCCAGGCTACAAGTCTATTGGTTGGTGCCACCCACACCCAGGGTGGGGCTTCCCTCTTCAGTAGATTCATCATCCACATCTAGAACTATGGTAAATCACTCAGTGGACTAATCCAGTGTCATACGCCCGTGATCCAGTCATTCCCAAAAGCCCCACCTATGAATGCTTGAGGCTTGCGCATGTGCATGCCACACAGCATCGGGGGTGTGGGGGGGTGGCGGGGTATTTGCACATCTAAATATAAGCTGTAGTAGTTGTTTAGTGTGCATTCATTGGGTAGAGTGTCACTGGCACACCTTTTAGAGCAAGACTGGATAGATGTTTGATTCTTCCCCTTTGATTGTTAGTTCTTAAGATAATGAATTGGAGCATTAGGGATGTAGCTTGGTCAAAGAGCCTTTGTGCACAAGGATCTGGGCTCAATCCCCAGCACACAAAAATAAAAAAACAAAATGGGTATTGACTTAGATCTCTCATCACCTTCTGAAGTTGACCATTTCTTCCTTTTATAATATCGGTACGAACTAATGTGTTTAAATACACTTGATGGGTTTGGTTCTTTGCGTTGTTGAAGGTTGGATAGCCCGTCCTCAGCTCACAGGACACTCATCCTGTTGACTCTTTCATGAGGAGGCTGTGGGGTCAAACTGTTTCACAGTGATACTGAGGTTATGAACCTTTCTCCTCTTGAGCTCTCCCAGCATGTGTGTTTGGAAGCTTAGTGCTGCTGGGTGATGTGAGACTATCTGGTGACAAAAAGCTGTGCAAGGGTGAGAGAGCTGTTCAGGGTACAAGCACATACATGGGTGAGTTAACAGCACCAATGAAGTATGATAGTGGTGTGTGAGTCCACCTTGCACCAGCTTGGAAGGAGCTGCGGTATAGTGTCACAGAGGAATACAGATTCTACAGTTACTGGCTTTGAGTGCAGGGCGGATAGTGTGTGCTGTCTTTTATTAAACCAGACATGAACGAGTTTCTCAACTAATAGAAAACAGTGCAACACTGTTGCACTGCAAAACACATATTTTGGAAAATAATTTTGCGTTAAAATGTTCTTTATATTGACATGTGATAG